GCTGAGCAGAGTGCGCAGTTGCACCCGTCAGCTGCTGCTGCTGCTGCCGCTGCTGCTGCTGCTGAAGCAGCAGCAGCAGCAGCAGCAGCAGCAGCAGGAGATTCCGTCTCCGATGCGCTGCTGTCGCAGTCTTGCTGAATCTCTAGACCCCCGTCTGCAGGCACAACCGCACTCAAACCCTAAACCCTAAACCCTAAACCCTAAACCCTAGATAGCTTTGCTTAGATATCCCTCAGCTAGAGAAGGCTTGGCTGCATACCCCCTGGGGTTTTAGGGTTTAGGGTTTAGGGTTTAGTTAGGGTTTACGATACAACTAGGGTTTAGGGTTTTGCTAGTGCTTGCTATTCAATTAGGGTTTAGGGTTTAATTGGGGGTTTAGGGTTTAATTAGGGTTTTGCGTTTAGTTAGTGTTTAGGGTTTAGGATTTAATTAGGGTTTAGGGTTTAATTAGGGTTTAGGGTTTAGGGTNGTTTAGTTAGTGTTTAGGGTTTAGGATTTAATTAGGGTTTAGGGTTTAATTAGGGTTTAGGGTTTAGGGTTTAATTAGGGTTTAGGGTTTAGGGTTTATGGAGGTGTATATACCGGCGAAGAGAGTCGCATTGTAGGTATCCTGCGCTACGGGTTTTGCTGCTGCTGCTGCTGCTGCTGTTTCTGCTGCTGCTGCAGTTCGTGAGGCAGCAACAGCAGCATAGCTGCTGTTGCTGCCGTGCAGCAGCAGCTGCTGCTGCTTCCACTGTCTCCGTCTCTCCCTGCTGCGGGCTGCTGTTGTCTGCTGCAGCAGCAAAGGATGCATGTGCTGCAGCTGACGCAGCCACAGCAGCAACTCGCTCGCGCTGCTGCTGCTGCTGTAACCCCCGCCCCACAGCGAGCTGTATATACACTCCACGTTGCCTGCAGCAGCAACAGCAGCAGCAGCAGCAGCAGCAGCACGATGCAGCAGCTGCTGCAGCAGCGGGAATCCTCTCCAGACGATGACACACACAAAGCACTTCAGCTGCAGCAGCAGCAGCAGCAGCAGCAACAGCAGCAGCAGCAGCAACAGCAGCAGCAGTACCCTAATAACAGCAGCAGCAGCAGCAGCAGACGCTCCTTAATACAACCAGCAGCAACAGCAACACCATAATAGCAGCAGCAGCAGCAGCACCTTAATAACAGCAGCAGCAGCAGCAGCAGCAGCAGCAGCAGCAGCAGCAGCAGCAGCATACCCATATACAGCCTCCTCCCGTCTTGTATTTTTTTAATGTTGAACTCTGGTGCAGCAGAAGCAGCAGCAGCAGCAGCAGCAGCTCCTGCTGCTGCTGCTTCTGCTGCTACTGCTGCAGCAGGCCTGATCTCCTCAAGAGCAGCATCAGGGTATTGCTGCCGCAGCAGCAGCTGCTGCTGCAGCAGCAAAGCACGCACGAAGTGTGTCTCTACGCCCCCGCTGCGAGCAGCACAAGCCCCCTGCTGCAGCTGCTGCATGTGCTGCTGCTGCAGCAGCAACCAGAAGAAGCAGCTGCTGCAGCTGATTGCAGCAGATCCATGAGAGAGGAGGCAAGGAGGGGGAGCGATAGGTTGCTGCTGCTGCTGCTGCTGCTGCAGCAGCAGCAGCAGGTCCTTTCTCTCGGATTTTGAAAGCAGCAGATGTACAGCAGGTTTGCTGCTGCTGCTGCTGCTGCTGCTGCGCTGCAGCAGCAACTCAACAAAACTGCAGCAAGACGAAGACAGAGCGCCTGCTGCCTGCTGCCACAGCCGCAGCTCTCTCCTAGGTTTAGTGAGTTGCTGCTGCTGCTGCAGCATATATTTAATTTGTTTCGGTGCATCTCCTTTTGCTGCTGCTGCAGCAACTGCAGCAGCAATACCACCACTCGACAGCAGCAGCTGCTGCTGCTGCAGCGCATGCAAACTCGTGCTGCTNCTGCAGCAGCAATACCACCACTCGACAGCAGCAGCTGCTGCTGCTGCAGCGCATGCAAACTCGTGCTGCTCAGCCATTGCTGCAGCAACAGCTGAACTCGCAGCTGCTGCTGCTGCTGTCTTTTGGCTTGTCTTAGTGCTGCACGAAGAGGCAGCACGGGAGCAGCAAAGCGTTGCTGCTGCTGCAGCAACCAACCCCCCTGATTGCTGCTGCTGCTGCTGCTGCTGCTGCTGCTGCTGCTGTCATCGTCGCTGCTGCTGCTGTATATTTGTGTGTCTGCGTCAGCAGCAGAAAACAAACGGCCCCGCTGCAGCAGCCTCCCCTTACGCAGCTGCTGCAGTGTCTTTGCTGTTGCTTCAGGCCCCAGCACCTGCTGCTGCTGCTGCTGCTGCTGCTGCTGCTGCTGCTGCTGCTCTGCTGCTGCTTGCTGCTCAAGATCCTGTACTTCTTCCTCCAGTGCATGCAGCAGCTGCTGAAAGAGTTCAGCTTCCTGCTGCTCTTGCTTTGCTGCATCTGCTGCACCTACCTGCTGCTGCTGCTGCTGCA